TATTCGTCCTCACATAGACGACAGTAATCCTCTTCACTGGAGTCCCACTTAGAAGTGAGAGATCTAATTTTGCAGTGACCTGTTATAATCCCCACAACGATTTTTGTCTCCCTCTTATTGTGTTTCAAGCGAAGACGTTCTTTTACGAGAGAATTCAGGCCAGATAGATTTTGAGATTCTGCAAGCAGGTTCCCTTAGCCATTTGTTACCAACTACCTCGCAATGGAATGCACGGATTCTGCCAATGAAGTAGCTGATGGGAGGTTTCACAGATCTCGAGCAAGCTTGTCGGCTATCTCATTCCCTTCAATGTCATTATGTTCTGGAACCCAACATAAACCAACTATCTGTCGTATATCATTCAAAGCGGACTTACAATCAAGAACTGCTTTCGAGTTTATAGTATGCGACTTCACTGTTTTGAGGGCCGCCTGACTATCGACATATATAGTCGCCGGTCCCGTGATATCGGCATTAAGTGCCTTTACTATCTCGGCCGCTTTCGTGATTGCAAGAATCTCTGCTTGAAAACGCTACAGTTATTGTTGAGTTTATATGAGTTGTATATTACTAATTCCCTACAGTAGACGCCTGCGCCAGTGCCTTCCTCCAACTTACCCCATCTGTAAAGATTGACAGACCAGACAGAGGTAAGGAGCCACTAGTCCAGGATTCGCTACTAGGAAATTCATCTTTGATGTCATTAAAGTCCCTATGAGGGGGAGTATAGTCACTGATATGACTGTTCCCCCAAAAGAGGTCATAACCATTTCAAGGCATCCGTTTCCAGGAGTCTCAGGGCACACCTGGCAGCCTGGAATTTAATCAGAATATCCAAATGTTGGAGATTCAAAATTGCGTTCAAGGCTGCCTGTGGTGTACTTCTTAATGCTCCGGTGATCAGGATTGAAGCCGATCGCTGTACAAAGCTCAATTTTGTCAGCAGCATCCAAACAAGACAACCATAGGTAAGTATAAGTCAATCCCACGACGGCCGGTTCTATGCACCGGATTGACTCGGAGGAATCAACTTCCGACCAAGGGCTGTCAACCCAGCAAATACTACGTGTATTTTTTCAACATGGGAGCATCATTACCCGGAATGCTTGCTCCGGATTCTTTTGGTCCGTACCGGGATTGAGACAAACCCCGGACCATGGTTCTGCTCAGTTTGTCACAACAGCATCCACCACAGATCTATTTCGGTGAGATGCAACGGATGCAGAGAATGGGTACATTTCAGGAGTTGATCCGGCCTTAACCGGATACAGGAGTATAGCGAAAGGGACTACGTTGCTTCTTGCTGCGCCAATGCAGTCCCCAGCGAGTCGTCGTCGTCACCGTGGTCCACGTCATCATCGTCGTCGTCTTCGGATTACGTGACTTCCCCGCAATCTCCGCAGCAGCAACCTGCGCCGCAGCCGCTAACACCGCACATTGCTGTCGCAACTCCTGAAAATGTATCTTTTCTTCAATTCAACTGCGATGGACTTCGAGGGAAAATCAACGAGATAGTGGATTTTATGAGTCGAAGAAGTATTATGGTCGCTGCGATCCAAGAAACGAAGCTGAACAACACCTGTAGTCTTCAGAGTTGTGATGGATACAACGTTATTAGAAAGGATCGTACAAGAGGTGGAGGTGGAGGATTAGCATTCCTATTGCACCATTCTGTCCAGTACAGACCTATCTCGCTTGAGCTAGACTCTAGTGACCCATACATGGAATGTATGGGGGTAGCGGTCAAATGTGGTACCGCCGAGGTAGAGGTGCTTAACGTTTACATTCCGCCGTTAAATAGCTGTGCCCCGCGTTACTTGCCAGACATTAGTCATCTTTTGGAAGGCAATAACCGTCTGGTGCTAGGGGATTTCAATGCACATCATGAGTTATGGCATTCCGTCCTAGGTAATGACCAGAGGGGCATGGCGCTGGCCCAGCAAATTGATAGCTCAACGTTTTGCACGGTGAACGAGGACATACCCACCAGGATGAGGGGAGACTGCCAAAGCTCACCGGACATATCCATCGTGTCTCCGGGTCTGACGAATGACGTGGCTTGGCAACCCGTCATATCATTGGGGTCAGACCACCTCCCTATCATCATATCCATCAACAGACCACCCGATTTCATAACTTCTGAACGCCGTACTTTCCTTAATCATGGGAAAGCCAATTGGCAAGAGTTCAGAAATTTCACCAATCGTCGCTTCAGAGAACTGCCCATCCCTTCTGACGTTCGGGTAGCAGAAAGGAATTTCCGGGACATCATCACTGCTGCAGCCGCTCGCTATATACCTGCGGGTCGTATACCCGAACTAAGACCGAACTTCCCAGCAGAGGCAGCGGGACTAGCGAATGAGCGTGATGAGCTTCGCCGTTCTAACCCTACTAACCCCAGAGTCAGAGAACTGACGTTGGAAGTGAACAGGTTAGTCGGCGAGCATAAGCGGAAAAAGTGGCTAGAGCATCTGAAGTGTTGCAACATCAGTACCGGAGTGAGTAAATTGTGGGCAACGGTTAAGTCGCTCTCGAACCCTGGAAAGAAGGAGGATCGGACTTCTGTCTCATTTAACGGCGTGGTGGTGACAGATCCGAAGAGGTGCGCGTGTTATTTCAACCGGCAGTTTATAGAGCACCCCGAGAGTGACCGGGCGAAGAGAAGAGTGTTGCGCCGTATACGCTCTCTTCAGGTGGAGGAGGAACCACCATAATTTACGTTGGAGGATGTTGCAAATGTCATCAGGAACGCGAAATCATCCAAAGCGCTTGGTCCAGATGGAATCTCAATGGTGATGTTGAAGCAGCTTGATGAGCCAGGAGTAGATTATCTCACCAAAGCCCTCAACTTGTCGTTATCCAACCTAGTAGTTCCCGACGCCTGGAAAATGGGCAGGGTGGTCCCGCTACTGAAGCCGGGCAAGGATGCCAGCAAAGGTGAGTCATACAGGCCGATCTCACTTTTGTCGCCAGTAGCCAAGACACTTGAGGCTTTACTACTCCCCAGCATTCGTGAATGCTACTCGGTTGCTGATCATCAGCATGGATTCCGGAAACAGCATTGCACAACAACAGCTTTGCATGCCATTTCCGCACACATAGCAGAAGGACTCAACCAGAACAGGCCGTGTAACAGGACAGTCATGGTGGCGCTAGACCTATCAAAGGCATTTGATACCGTCAGTCACGCCAAGCTGTTCGAGGACATCGAGAGAACAACCCTCCGGCCAAGTTTGAAACGTTGGATCGTGAACTATATGTGTGGACGCCAGTCGTACGTGGAATTCAGAGACAGGAAATCGAAGGCCCGTAGAGTTAAACAGGGAGTTCCCCAAGGAGGGGTGATATCTCCGGAACTGTTTAACCTCTACCTCTCTGGAATTCCACGCCCACCGGACGGCATAAAGATCGTGACATATGCGGATGATTGCACGATTATGGCGTCAGGACCAAAAATTGATGACATTTGCGAGAGGCTGAATCACTATCTCGTAGATATCGCAGATTTTTTCCGGTCGAGGAATATGAAAATATCCGCCACTAAATCAACGGCCACACTGTTTACCACATGGACAGCGGAAATGAGGCTATCTTTGAATGTGCAGGTCGAGGCGTCCACAATTCCGACCACTAATTACCCCAAGGTTCTAGGGGTCACATTCGATAGCCTATACAAGTCGTCCGCGCATGCCACAGCTATTTGCGACAAAGTCAGGAGCAGAAACAAGGTTCTCAAGTCGCTAGCCGGCAGCACTTGGGGAGCTGACAAGGAAACCTTGTTAACGACTTATAAGGCAATAGGCCGGTCTGTGGTAAACTATGCGGCGCCAGTGTGGTCCGCTAACGTTAGTGCAACGCAGTGGAAAAATCTTCAATCCTGCCAAAATGCCGCCCTGAGAACTGCAACAGGGTGTCTCCTCATGACTCCAGTAGACCACTTGCATGAGGAGACGAAGATCCTTCCTGTGCGTCAACACAACAAGATGTTGTCGATGCAATACTTGCTTGGGTGTTATAGGAGCAGCCATCCGAACCGCTACCTAATGGATAGGCACCCACCACCCAGGCATGTCAGGAAGGATCTCCATGATCTGGAGAGAGAGGTCCAGAGATACAAAAGGGAGCCTCTAGATCAACAGGCCTATCAAGCAGGATTGAACAGTATTCACACGGACGCAGTTGAGGAAGCAGTTCAAGAATATCGCGTGAATACCATCCTCGATGACCATCCGCTGAAATTAGAAAGAAGCATTAAATTTAGCTCTTTTTTTAGCAAGAATACATTTTCTCACCTTCTCTCCATTGGAGGTGGACAAAAGCGTGTAATTTTTGTCGCCCAGAGCAGTCACCTTGCCTGAGCGCGACGTCGGTATTTAAGGAAGAGAGGGTGAGTAGGAGTTCAGCAGCTGCTGCTCTACAGTGATGCAGATTGATCTGAACCACATTAAACGCTTGCTGCTGTCTGCTTATTGCTTTGGTGATGGGAGGCGGAAACAGAGTTTGCCCATTCCATAAACAAGCTCCCCCTTGTTCTTCCTCAAATTTTCATCTCCCGCAGAATCAGTAGCGAACTTCGCGACGACACCGCCGTTCCTTTCAAATGAGGCGAGGATTCTCCACCTCCTCATCTGAAGGACGTCTTTCTGCTTCTCCAATAACCTCAGTGTCTTCTCAAGCCCCTTGAAAGGTTTTGGGTTAAACACCGAGGTTAGCATACCGCTTGGTATCTCTCGGACCGCTACAGCTGGCAGGCGACTACCTTCCCAAAGAGGGTCCAGGTTGTTAATTGTCTTCTTAAGGAAATCTGAAGTCTCCTTTGTATGAGGAGGTCAGGCCAAACCGCAGGCTCTGTCGATCAACCTCGTCGGATAGGAAGAGGTCCTTCAGATGACTGTCGACCCATCTACCCTCGCTGATAAACCCGCAGATCTTCCGGAACCTCTTTTGAATCAGCAGAGTCGCATTGCATCGTTGTAGGTGTCTGGGCTACCTGCTTCGAGTCACCTGCTCTTAGCAGGTTTCTCCTTCGACGCTACCACCGACGCAAACGAAGCAGAGCTTTTTACGACCGACGACTGTGTGGGTCTCTTTGCAGCAGGTTGTTGCTCCTCCGAGGACCTCATTATCTTGAGAGCCGTAGGCTGTGGCCGAGATTTGGCACCCGGGTTTGCAACCGCTGCAGAGGTATGCCCAGAAGACACAGGCACCTCCATCGCGCTCACTACTTTCTGCTCATCCACTAACAACTGCCCAATTGTCACCGCCTTGGCTCTCGGCTTTGGCAATTCGGCAGAAGGTGGATATACAGGGGGTTGTTGTGTCTTATCGGTCTTCTTTGAGGCCTTTTTACGGGCTATCCTTCGGGCCGACTTCGACAGTCCCCTACCTTCCGTCTTTGTGGATGCTGATGTCTGGGACGTCTCAGTACTCAGTTTACCCTTGGGGGGTGCTGATGGCTTAGAAGTCTCAGGTATTAGCTTCCTAGATGTACCAGGGCCATCAGCAGGTTTCTCTTTCTTTGAAGGGACTACCGTTGTGGTCCTAGTACTGGGTCGGGGGATCCTGTCAATCAAGAAGTCCCTCTCAATATTATCAGGATAGTTCCTGGAGAACTTAAGGATGAGTTTGAGGATCCTCTTGATTAACAGGAACTCCTTCCCCGTGATGGAGTCGCTTTCCCGTCCGATGTATCGTTTACAGTAGTTAACTGCTCTCCGGTACATCTTCTTGGCAGCAATCTCCTTGGCATCGGCCTGTCTATCAGATACTGGTACTGATGAATCATCCATCTTAACGATCAGTGCCAGAACTGCTTCGACAGCAAATTGCCTGAGTAATCTCGCGACATCACTACAGGCACTAAAAGTTGGCTCCATAGAAGTGATGTGAGTGAGGGATTGAGGTCGACCATGGCATAGCCTCTTACCATGGTAAGGACTTGACAACTAAGCCTGAAAGACTTGTTGTGGCGCCCAGTTATCAACAAGGCTCCGTTCTAATACTGTCAGGACCCTGACTGCAAACCCTAGAACGCTGATAGGCACGAGGTCGCATGACACCCCAGCGTTAGGGGAGACACTTTAAGAAGGTAGTGTCCCAGACCTTTGAGATGGATATAAAGGGGGCGCCATTCTCGCCTCGTCGGCTCAGGGATCATAGGTACTCGGTCATTTCCTCTGAGACTCTACCCCTGAGCCCGCTGATTGTCCGCGACTGTTTATTTGTTATTCACAGTTACCCAACGAATAGTGTTGGGCTTCCCACTATCCGCAACCTGTGGACGCGTACGTTAGCATTCAGCTCTGCTCCCCGTAGGGACATACACAAAAAACTATTTTCATAAAATCGGTATCTGCAACTCAAACCTTTGCGAGATATGTGGCATCATTGAGGATGAAAAACGCTGCAAGATTGTCAGCTGCGCTAGTACCTATTTATTGTGCCATGATACAAATCAACCATGGTACAATAATTTTATTTCATTCAATTTTTCATTTGAAATAATTTGAAATTTATTATTTGTTTTGTTAAATGAAAATCAGTTTCACACATCGATTAACTCCATGAAATGAAAAGTTGAGAATCGCGACATTATACATATGCTGATAATAGCTGTGTCTGTTTACAACAATGGTTACCAAATGTTACTGGATGTTGTCTGTATACTCCAAACTCCAGTAAAAGATAGCGAAAAGAGAGCTAGTTTGACAGTTCTACGCTGAGAACTTACTGAATGTTACTGTGTCAATTTCTTCAGCAAGATTTATCGCGCACAATTCGATGTATTTTGTGTTGTAAATCAAAAACACATTTTTTTATTTTATGAATTTTATTCATTAATAATAAAATTCATAAAAAAACATAAAACGGTAGCTGCAGTTTCCAATTTTCGATAATGGTGGTTCACCATTTTTAATTTGGAATTCATATATCAATTTCAAATAAAATGAAAAATAAAATACCATAAAATTGAATGTATGTCGATTGGAACTTTTTCAATAAATTAAACAAAATCTATTTTCCAAAGCTGAACATTGCTCTCAGGATTTTACCATGTTTGTTACATCCTTTATTTATATGTTTTAGAGGCAGGGAACTTCAAAATATTTATAAATATAAATTATTTAGCAATTTTTGCCACTGAACACATAATATGCGTAAATTTCAAAAGAAGATATTTTCATTTAAAATTTGAAAGCTGAATACTGTCAACGGCAAGTTTATGAAAAAAATTGGAAACATATGACTGCATGAGACTACCTTGTATAATAATGCCATGGTTAGACGTCAAAACGCCCCTCCTACTTTATTTCGTCCTTCAAATCATGCAGACGATAAATTTGAAAGAAACAATAGTTTTGGTAGCGTTATTTTTGTTCTTTCATAATTTATATTTGAGTTTTTCACTGTTATGGCGAACATCAATATATGATTTTCTTTGGCTTCGAAGTTCAGCTTGCTTGAGTTCTGTAATGAAAAGTAAAGTCACACAAGTCAACATTTTGCGACGCGTTTCGCCGTTGGTTAAACGAATCATTTGGCTATGTGATTTTTCTCCACTCAAAATGTTTTTATTCGCTTCCAAATTGACCAAATTCTGCTTAAATATTTCCTATTGTTTTTATATAGTACGTGACAATATTTGGTTGAACATTCATCGTTATCAACAGGATTTCCAATGCCATTTTATTTGTTGGTTTTGAGTATGATGCAATAATATGGTGATGTATCACAACAAAAACCGTTGTTTTTGTCTCGACCATCTGCCAAATTTTCCCTATAAAATTTCGACACAAAATCAAATACAAAACTTGACATATGTACATCAAACAACACCTAATTCAATAGTCTGTGCATAATTTTACATAAAATCGGACGAAACTGGTGCGAAATGAAAAAAGTCAAATTTTGCCTTCCTTAAATATGAGATGAGTAGATGAGCGAGCATATGAATTCCGCAACTTCAGAGGTCCATATCTCGAGAAGTACGGACTTCTCCCATGAATTTTCGCCATCAGGGAGACGAGATCCACCTGTGATAAAAATTTCAGAAAAATTGGAGATATCGATAAATAGTCGACATCGTCGCATGAGTGTTAAGCGATGTACACACTATAATTTTTGAATGACACTCTAGGGCTAAGCAGAATGCTCGCGTTGAGCCATCCGTTGCGTTTTGTGTTATCGAAAATACAACAACCCCAGACAGACAATAAATTTCAACAATAAATTTATGAAATGCAACGGTGTCTCTGGGACATAACCAGTCCAGAGTACATGTCACGCGACATTAAAATGAAATCGTATGGAAAACTGCTACATAAATTGAAAAAGTATAAAAAATTGTACTGTGGACGACGTGAAAAGGAAAATCAGCACAATTCGTTCGTCTTACAGAAGGGAACTCAAAAAAAAAAAAATAAAGCAGTCTGAAACTTCTGGAGCGGACAATATTTACCAGGCGAAGATTTGGTGTTTTGAGTCGTGCAAATTTCTCCAGAGCTATGAGAAACCAACCGATAGCATATCAACACTGAGGAGCTGGTTCAGGGACTACGTCTGCAGTGGCCCAAGAACAAGAAACATGTCAACAATGGCTATCGCCTGGAGAAACAAATGCGTTACAGCCGTACCAAGAAAATGCCTTTGGAATTCACAGCTGCCGATCGTATCTACTTCGATAAGTCCATCAATTTGGCTACCTGCATGAAGGAGAATTTCCAAGATTAACTTGAATCGTTGGACTTCAGAACCAAAGCCGAAGAGGGACGCATGAAAATCAACAACTGGATTGCAAAATTGGAACCGATTCTACGCAAATTGGGCATCAACAATCTGTTCGAGTGGCTTCTCCACCGAAACAAGCCTGATGTTTGTGATGCCAAACATGTTGCCAAAATCAAGGTTGATGAGGAGGGCAGTACTGCTGCAGCAGCCATAGTTGTTTTCAGTTTCCGTTCAGCACTTCCCGCCGAACCAACCAAATTCAAATGTAATCATCCATTTATGTTCCTGATCTATGATAATACCGCCAAGGCTGTACTCTTCACAGGCATTTATCGTGATCCAAAAACACAAAAGTAGACAGACAAGGGATTCTTTCACATTTCTCTGCCCTAGGACTTTTTTACTCGTCTCGTTTCCATTCTATTTGTTTATTCTTCTTCTTTCAGTTTAATTTCTACTGCTGCTGCTAATACTACGACATTTGCCCTATTCTCTCTGTCTATTGTTTTATTTATAAAAAATGAGGACTTGCTTAATTTTCGTTTTATTTTTTAATATTATTTTATATTTTTTGTTTTTTTTTATAATAATTATTTTTAGTTTATTTAATTTGTTTTCCTGTTTATTTCGAATAAATTATAATAATAATAACAATGATCGTTAGGGTAATTTATACAACAATAAAATGAAAAAAGGAGGTAGATACATGGTTCTTTTTGAAAACATGCACAGAATCACTTTCTGAGTAGATTTATGCATGACCGTCTGTTGATGTTAAATTGTAAACAAAGTACGGGTCACATTTATGATGCGAATGACAATTTTGAGCGAATTGTATTTATGCTGATTTATCAAAAAAAAAAAAATCGCCCATAAAAATCCACATAATGGTCAACAACAATCTCACAAAAAAATTGGGAGACCGAGATTTCATTAAGAAACTAATAAAATTCGAAGCCTATTTTTGATTATTATTATTAAAAATTCACATCCAATTTTTTTATCATCCATTTTTATTAATATATTTCTTTTTTACGGCATCTTATTATTAGCACAATTTATAAATTTGAATGTCGGTTTGAAAAAAGGCATGAATGATAATATGGCCGCTACAAACAACACAACAAAACTGTAACAACCGATAAGTTATCGAAACTGTCACTCAAAAATGATAGTGTGTACACCGCTTTAATTCATATCATCAGAGTTTTTTTATTTCAAACTTATTGTTTCTTGTTTTACACCAAAATTGTAACATATTTGCGTGAATCACATATGGATCTAAATATAAAAAATAATTCTCTTTCTCCTGACTATAATATCAACGCCTATCTATTTACTTTTAATTCATGTTTTCCATTTTTCTTGAAAATATTGTTGTTTTCAATACATTTTTATATTTTCTCACCTCAAATGTCAAATTTTGAAAAAATGGAGAATTTTTGTTTGGGTTTCCCCACTTTGGTCTCTCGTTTTGTACTCTAATTAGAACAAAGGGGAAAGAAATGCATATTGCATCATGTAGACAACAAAATTTACATCCTTCTGCATATCTAAAAACTATTTTTTTTTTACTTTTCATTCATCATTTTCAATTTTACTGAAAAAGTTTGAAAATTTTAAAATTATTTTCATGCTGACAGATACAGACAGCGTGTTGAGGATCTGGAAGGAGCATTTTGAAAAGCTTCTAGTATCAAATAGTGGCGATGAAGAAGATACCCCAGAACCAATAAGAGATGAAGGTATAGAATGTATACCACCTAGCCAAGATGAGGTCATAAAAGCAATTAATCGGCTCAAGAACAACAAAGCAGCAGGAGCCGATGGGTTACCAGCCGAACTTTTCAAGACTGGTAGCCAGATGCTGGTCAGGAGCATGCACCAGCTGATTAGCACAATTTGGCTAGATGAATGCATGCCCAATGATTGGAGCCTCAGCATCCTGTGTCCCGTGCACAAAAAAGGAGACAAAACGATATGTGCCACCTATAGAGGAATAAGTCTCCTTCCCATCGCATATAAAGTGCTATCCAGTGTGCTGTGTGAACGATTGAAGCCA